GATGTACAATATATATAGACAAACTAATGGACTAAGCCCAAACCTAATATAATCAGACCTAATACAAAATAAAGAAACCCTAATTACAATATATTTCTAACATTTATAATATATAATTAATAATCACATATATACAAAAAATTAACTACACAATATATAATTATAATTTTTAATTCTTATTTGAGTTATTTTTTTTCTAGTGACTTGGAGAATAATTTTAAATAAATTGCATTTCTCTTCCTTGAAAGATTAATTGGTGCTACATTTCAGATTATTTTAATATGATAACAGTTTTTCGCTTTGTTACTCGACATTATCAATATTGATTTTGAAACTTTGGAAGATAATATTAAGCTTTTAAATGAAGTCCTAAAGCGATCATATGTGTACACAATTCATTTTATCTTGTAAAGTATCAAAATTAATAATATGATATTCAAAATCAACTACCGGTGACACTAAGAATTTCATAAAGAAATTTTTTTCCCTAAGAGGCTCATTTTTAGTTATTCACCGTTATGAGATTCGTTTACATTAAAAAGGACAAAAGTGTAACAAATGTTCTCCTTTTTTATTGGAATGGTTGACAGTGTAATGGGATAGGAATGTAATCTGCCCAATAATTTTTAAAATTATTTATAACAGTTATGACTATAACTTTATACATTTAGTATATTTAAGTGGAAACTGCGGAATAATAAGAAAATGAGTTTGTTTTTTTTACGGTTAAGGTAGATAATTTATCTACATTGAGTTTAAAATGACGTCGTTTTAAGACAGAAATCAAGATATTTTTATAATTATAATTTATTTCAGGGTTATAATAGTCTTTTTCATTATAATTTTTTAATTTTTCAACCCAAAACGACGTCGTTTTGGGAGTAAATGTAGATAACTTATCTACATTCACTATAGAAACGTTAAAGCCTAAGAAAATATAACTAAACAAATTTTACAACAAGAAAAGTTATTTTTAGATTGATATAAAAATAAGAGATTTTATATTTATTATTGATAATTGATCCACTTGTATCTCATGTCTCACATACAGTGGCGAACGCAAGAATTTTAATGACAGGGGGTGAAAATAAAAAATATTATATTATAAACAAAAATATTTGAAATATAATACAGATCTAATATAAAAAAATTAAAAGAAATCTATTACAAAGATTAAGATCACTTCATTTGACTCTTATTTTACGTATTTTTTTATTGTTAAACTTATATATAATTGAATTCGTGTTAAAACTGAAAAAAATTTCTTTTTTAATGTATGTAATCAAAGAATCATAAACAAATTGATCTTCTATTTTATTTCGAAGCTTGTTCTTGATTTTATTTTACGCATGCGGATCCTAACTTTTTTCTTTCTTTTTAAATGTCAGAATCGGCATGTGTAAATATGTTTGCTACAAAAAAATTCATATGCTATTGCTGCAGAAGAGACGAACCCATAAATAAATCATGTTATCCATTATCAATAAATTAGATATCCACAAAGTTATATGTGTCATTTCATTCTTTTTATAGCTATAATTGTTGGAAATTTAAAGAGATTAAGAATAATTTAGAAGAACACACTACAACTTTTTTAATCTAATTACGTGTTTGGTAGGAGGTGAAAAAAAAAAATTCCTAAGAAAATGGGGTTGAGAAATTATTTGCCTATGTTTGATAGGAGATGAAGTAAAAATATGGCTGGAAATTTTATTTTTTTTCATCATTTGCTTTTCTATGTAAAATAGTTGGAGGAAATTACTATTGAAGAGTGAACAGGTACTTGAAGAGTGTTTCAAGATTGAGTCCCACGCCCCCTTCAATGAAAATGCTTGTGCTTCCTCGTCAGTTGTCTTCTCTTGCAATTGCAAGCTGAACAATTTTCAGAAGTTTGATTTGAGCCGTTGAGATTTTGTACTTCCTCTTCACGCTCACTCATGTCAGTAATTTACCCACTCACACATATTTTGTAATATTATTAAAATACCTATATATATATATATAATTTTTTTCTATCAAATTTTAGGGGGGGCGGGGGCCCACCCTAGCCCCCTCTAGGTCCGCCCCTGCTCACATAGCTAAAAAAAAATTATAACTTATGTTTGCGTAAAATCATATTTGCTTTTTACAATTTTTATTTTTAAGAAAAAAATTAGGATAAAGGAATCATTGTCTTAGTGTAAGGATAGAATCTCGAGATTTTCATCTGTGCTTGTCGAGGAAACGTTTGGTAGAGGAGAAATTTTTTTTATCAGAGAAATACAATTACTAAGAATATGGTGGGAAAATGAATTTGATAAGAAAGTTAAAAAAAAGTTGTTTGGTAGGCCAAAAAATTACTAAAAAAATCGGATTAAATTTTCTTAGTCTATGTTTGGTTTAAGGTAAAATATTGATGAAAAATGGGTAAAAATGACAAAAATAACCCTTTTTCTTTCCCGCTTTTGACACTGTAAAACGGGTCGATATTTAGAGTAAGAAGAAGAGATCTTGCTCCCAAATGTGCAGAGGCGAGGGCGGCGTCACAGCAAGGAGAAAAAATCAAGGGCTAAGTTTAGTGGGCATGAACAAACACATGTGGTGACGGTTATTCACAACAGAACCAAGAAAAGAACACTCCATCAACAAAAGAAAAAAATTAAGGCTACACCCATCTACAAAACAGGGGTAAACCATGAAAGGGAAAGAGGAAGACATGAGAGACTCACCCGGACGACGACAAAGAAGACTTAGCCGGCAAAATAAGAGATACCGCAAGGGGGTGTTTGGTAGAGGATTAAATTTTTTTTACTAGGGAAATATGATTAATGGGAAAATAGTGAGAAAACAAATTTACTAGGCAAATTTTAAAAAACTGTTTGGTAGGCCGGAATATTACCAGAAAAATTGATTTAAGTTTACTAAATTTATGTTTGGTTGAAAGTAAAATATTGATCAGAAAATATATTGAAAAATCGAAAATACCCCTTGTAAATTTTGAATCTAAATGGACGCGTGAGTGTATCATTGAACATCTATACAAGGAACATTCGTCTTTCGTTATGTGTTTCTCTGTGTTTCTTCATAATTTTTTTTTTGATATTTATGAAAGGGAAATGTATCCATGCCATTACAGTTTAACGAATAAGAATGCCATTATAAGGACACTTGAAACAGCTTCTCATAGACAAACTATAATCTCAACAAGACACTACAATGAGAAGGTTCTAGGAAAGTCTAATCATTCCATATCATGATAAATTTTCCTTATATACCAAACTGTGCAAAACCTGTTTCAGAAACTCAGTTTCCAAATTTAAGTTAGCATGAACACATCAACTCTAAGATAAAATAATAAAAAAGGCTAATTGCATCCAAATCCTACGATTCAGATAAAAAATACCTGTATTCACTCACACTCTCAAACCGTGTAATTTGGTTATGTGTATCCCTTCCCTTCTCTCTTTCTCAGTTTCTCAGATTACAAGGGCATTTCAGTCAACAAAATCTGGCCAAATTTTTCATTTCCCTAGTCTTCCTCAAATACTAGCTCTGATGTGGTCTTCACAAAGTGGGTTTTTCATATCAAATTACACACAACTCTGATTTAGATGGGTAAAATGGTTGCCTAGTTTTATTTCTCTAAACCCTCTACCAAACATGGCTTACATAGTATCCCACTCTCACTTACCCATCCATCTCACCAAAAACCACCTACCAAACACTCCCCAAGGGTCATTTTCATTCTTATTTTGGAGCTCAAAATAAGACTTAGCCGACAAACGAAAAATAGGAAGTGGTATTTTCAAACAGTAGATTTCCTGACAATTTTCACACAAATTGTGAATCCCCGGCAACATATTTTGCTGGTATAATTTTTGTGAAACTCGTACCAAACATGGTATACTACAAAACTCACTTACTTCTCCAACAATCCCAAAAAAAACCTTGTACCAAACACACTCTAAAGAGATTCAAGTTATATCCAAGGACAAGCTTATAGGATAAGTTTGACAAGTGCTTGGCATAGACCCAAATAATTAGAATTCTATTAATCTAAGTCACTAGAATTGGTTTAATGGTGAGGGATTTGGATAAAATACATTAGATTATGTGTTCAATTTTTACTTATATCCAAAATAAAATAAAATTCTATTGATCCTTATCGGATAAAAATAAATGGATATTAATAATGATTTCTAAGAGTAATACTAAAATGATACATAATGCAGGAGGCCAAAGAGCAAGAAACTCAAAGTAAGAGACATTGATAGAGAAAATATTACCTTAATATAGTTTGAGATAACATTGGAGGATGAACCTGAATGCCGTTGTAGCATAAATACAACCTGCAAATTTTAGGAGTTGACATGATATGACACAAATGACACGTAAATTACGAGTCAAAATAGTAACTAACCAATTATTTTTTTTTAAAAAATGGTCTAAATTAAAAGAAAAATGAGTCGAATTTGTATTCACACCACACATAACACAAAATTTTTAAGTATCATATTTTTTCAATACTAACACAACACAAATTTTTTTCACGTCAATCCAAATATGAATTTTTGTAGGACTTATCATTTCTTAAGCTGTTTGAGATAATTTTATCTCCGACTATTAAATCATGATCGTACAAAAATGAATCAAGAGTGATAAAAGAAGAGAAAGAAAAAAGAAATCATAATCATTCAAAGATAAATCAATTAATATAAAAAAATAAATAAACAAAACAATGTAATTTTAAAGCAACCAGAAATATACTTATATCAAATTACGGGAGAAATATTTTTTCTGTATTATGCTGGTCATAACATATTTTGAGACCCATACCCTCGACTGACATAACATTTATTGACATTACTAGGCTAATTAAGCAGCCCAACCCGCAAAGCCAGCCATAGGAAAGCCCATGCCCAGTGTCAACAACTTGAATTAGTTCAATCTTTTCTTCAGTTCCCGGGGTCTCGCTCTTATTCTTCGTAAAGTAAATTGTAACTCGTTCCTGTGTGCTGTCTATGGAGAAACAAAGGGGCAAAGGAGTGGAACCCAACAAGGTTAAGGTATTGACCACAAACTCACTCCAAATAAACGAAGATGATGCCTCTCGCTTGGTTGGTTCCATCGTCGAAAAGGGTATCTCTGATTCTCTTAACAACACCACTCTCTTCCACCCACTTCCCAAACCCACTGTCCTTCCTTTCCCTGTTGCACGCCATCGTTCCCATGGCCCTGTAAGTGCCTCATCTTCTCCTTCAACTTCCCTTTTATCTACCCTTTTCCTTTTAAAGCTTCAATCTTTTTATATTATATCGTATCATGCTTCAATTGAATGAAGACGTCTTATAGTGAGTAATATATGGCAAAAATAAAAATAAAAATAGTCTTTTAATGTTTTCTAGGCTTCTAGTGACTTTAACCGAGGAGGGTTTGTTGGAAAACACTGAATTAAGATTTAATGAATGTTAATGGGAGACATACACCGAGTTCTACTTAGTGTGGCCTTTGGTGGCTTCACCACATTCTTTTCTTTTTTCAAAATTGTGTTGTGGGTATTTTTGACTGAACTTAACAAATAAGGAGTTCCCCCCCCCCCCCCCCCCCCCCCCCCCCCCCCCCCCCCCCCCCCCCCCCCCCCCGCCCCCCAATTAAATATAGGGTAAACAATTCATCGTGGATTGATTTTGCATGAGAAATTCTATGGAGAACTAACCCATGAATTGTTCACTCAAGTTATTGAGACTAAAAGGTCTTAGTTGGGCCTATAAGTCTGTCTGCTTCCTTTGACTCATTTTTGGTTGATTGTGAATTTAGTTCATGTAACGGGTAGTAAGCATCGTGGACTGATACTTAGAATTTGGTGATTTTACAGCATTGGCGTCCGTTGAGGAGTAAAGGGGGTGGTGATGATGATGATGATAGTGACTATAATGTTGATGATGAAGGAGATAAAGATTTCATGGAATTTGAAAAAATTGCATCCTTTGCCAATCCAGTACAAAGGAGGAGGAAAAAGGGTTTGGATTTTAGAAAGTGGAAAGAGATTACTCAGGATGATAATTCTTCCTTGGGAAAGCAATTAGAAGAGGATGTGTCAAGCTTTGGTGGAACTGCACGGAAAAAGAAGGATGAGAAAGGTGGTAAGAATGCAGACAAGAAAATCTCATCTTCTGCTGATGATAGTGTCTTTGCTTCTATGAAAATGGATGCTAAGCTGCAGTTAGATAACTCACATGGAGGATTTATCAATTCAGTCACTCCCATGGAACTAGATACGCCAAATAAGGTAGATCTTCAGGAAAAAGTTAAAGATGCCAGAATATATGATGACAAGGAAGAAAATGTAACTGCGCCTAAGTGGGACCAAATTTGCTCTGATAGAGTGCCTGATTACAATTTTGGTTCTCTAGATGTGCTAAGGCCAGAGCAAAATCATTTGACTTCAAGCATACTTTCTTGTTCTAGTTCCAATAACATCAGAAGTGATCAAGAGTCCGTGTCTCTTGAGAGTGAGATTGATGCAGAGAATCGAGCTCGGATCAAGAAAATGTCAGCTGAGGAGATTGCGGAAGCCCAGGCTGAAATAATGGAGAAAATAAGCCCTACATTACTAAAATTACTACAGAAGAGGGCACAGGAGAAATTGAAGAAACAAAGTAGTTTTAAATCAGAAGTGGGTACTGACTCTGAATCTGTGAATCGACATCTTCAGAGTACTGAAGATACTAAAAGTCTGCATATAGAGGATGACATCTTGCATCCAGTGATGGCAACAGAATCCAAAAAAATGCTAGGTGATGAGAAAATTAGCACAAAAACTTCATCCACTGCAAGCAGCAGCTCATGGAATGCTTGGAGCAATAGAGTTGAGGCCGTTAGGGAGTTACGATTTTCTTTGGCTGGGGATGTTGTTGATACTGAGCGGGTATCTGTGTATGGTATGCGTTATTTATTCTTCTACGTTTATTTATCTATCTTTGGAGTTCTATTATCAACCTGATGCCTTGTTTGATCCTTGCATATGTATATATAGATATAGGCTCTTCTGTATTTGGTCTTTTGGGTATGTGGTAAATCAATGCTCAGCTAGTGATAGTATGTATTCTTGATGTTTGAATACTTTTCTTCATGCAGCATCAACTATTGATTTTCGACTTACATATTGAGGTTTTGTATTTGAAATTATTTTTATTCCCAACAATCCATGGTCCATTTTTGGTTCACTACACTTCTAAATGCACATGAACCAAAAATACATAGTATATTAATGTGTCTAGAAGATATCGTGTAATGTTAAGATTATATCTTAAAACAGTTTAGAGTATCCTAGAGGATCTCTTTGGATTTGTTTCCATATTTCCTTAATTTGATGATTTTTATAGCTTATAAGGATTAATGCTATGTTTTATGTATCACTTCATGTCACATCCTTTTCAACTATAGCAAAGGAAATGTATTTCATACAAAGGAAACATGGTGGTGGAATGGAGAGGTGCAAAAGGCAATTAAACATAAGAAGGAGTGCTTTAGATCTTTGCATAAAAGTCCCAGTGAAGAGAACCTGCAAAAGTTTAGATTGGCGAGAAAAAATGCAAAGAAAGCAGTGCGAGAAGCTAGAGGCAAGGTTTTCGACGAGTTGTATAAAAATCTTGGGATCAAGGATGGTGAAAGAGGTATTTATAAACTTGCAAAGATAAGGGATAAGAAAAGTAAAGACCTTACCCAAGTTAGATGCATCAAGGATGAAAATCAAAAACTTCTGGTGAGAGATGAAGATGTAAATGAACGATGGTTGAAATACTTCAACAAGCTGTTTAATGGGGATGGGGATACAAGCGAGGTGGACTTAGAGGACGCGTACGATGATATGAATAGAAGATTTGTACGCAGAATTAATACACATGAAGTTAAGGAGGCTTTAAAGAGGATGAAGACTAATAAAGCCTTGGGGCCTGATGGTGTCCCTATTGAAGTGTGGAGAGGCCTGGGGGATGTGGCAATAAAATGGTTGACCAATCTTTTTAATAAGATTCTCCAAACGAATAAGATGCCTGATGCATGGAGGAAAAGTATGATTGTGCCTATCTACAAAAACAAGGGAGATATACAGAATTGGTCAAACTATAGAGGCATTAAGCTAATGAGCCATATTATGAAGTTGTGGGAGAGGGTTATTGAACATCGCTTGAGGAGAGATACCAAGGTTTCTGTAAATCAATTTGGATTTATGCCAGGAAGATGTACCATGGAAGCCATTTTCTTGATGCGACAACTAATGGAAAGATACCGAGAAAAGAAGAAGGACTTGCATATGGTGTTCATAGACCTTGAGAAAGCATACGATAGGGTTCCAAGGAAAGTTTTATGGTGGGTCCTGGAGAAGAAAAAGGTTCCATCAAAGTATGTAAAGGCAATCAAGGATATGTATGATGGGGCTACTACATGTGTAAAAGCTTGTAACGGATCATCAAGTTATTTTCCTATCATGGTAGGTGTACACCAAGGGTCGGCTCTAAGTCCTTACCTCTTTGCTTTAGTTATGGATGAACTAACAAAAGATATTCAAGAGGAAGTGCCATGGTGTATGCTTTTTGCAGACGATATTGTGCTTATTGATGAGAGCAAGGAGGGTGTTAATAGAAAACTTGAATTGTGGAGAAGCACATTGGAATCCAGAGGATTCACATTAAGTCGAAGCAAGACTGAGTATCTGAAGTGTGAGTTTTCTCTGGTACGAGATGAGGACCAAGAGCCTGTGCATCTAAATGGTCAAGAGGTACCCAAAAAAGATGCTTTTAAATACTTGGGCTCCATTTTACAAAACGGTGGAGAGATTGATGAGGATGTAAATCACAGAATCAGAGCAGGGTGGATGAAATGGCGCAGTGCATCTGCATTTTTGTGTGACCGCAAAATCCCCCTGAAGTTAAAAGGAAAATTCTATAAAACGGCAGTAAGACCGGCAATGCTATATGGAGCGGAATGCTGGCCAGCACATAGGCAACATGAGCATAAGATGAGAGTAGCAGAGATGAGGATGTTAAGGTGGATGTGTGGTTACACAAGGATGGATAAGATAAGAAATGAAGATATTCGACGAAAGGTCGGAGTAGTATCGGTAGCCGAGAAGATGAGAGAACATAGATTGAGGTGGTTTGGGCACGTGATGAGAAGACCCATGGATGCTCCTGTAAGAACAGAAGTTTGTTACCAAGAGCTAAACACACAAAGAGGCAGAGGTAGGCTGAAGCTTACTTGGGGGAAGGTAGTAAAACAAGATTTAATGGAGTGGGATATAGATTGGCGGACAGTATGTCTTAGAACGGAATGGAGAAAAGCTATAAGTATGGTGGAGGGTTAGACCCGCTGTTATTCCTATGTTCCAGATGGTCCATTTTTAGTCATTTTCCCCTTCATTTCCCCCACTTCTTCTTGTCCCTTTCTTTTTTCATTTTTATTTATTTATATATACATATATTTTTATTTTATTTTATATTATTTTTATTTTATTTTATCTTATCTTATTTTATTCTTTTATTCTATTTGTTTATTTTTATTTATTTATTTTTTGTTTTTTTTACTTTTTTCAACCGTTTTGTATCTTTCATGTGGGTTCATCTACCACCGACCCCAATTAATTTGGGATAAAGGTGTTGTTGATGTTGATGTTGATTTGAAGTTTTTCGTTTTCCTCTGTACCCAAATCCCTTAATTTCAACATAGAATTTCTATTGTGCTGTGTAGGCAATATATTACTGGTAAATAAAGTAAAGGTCAATGTCTTTGCTAGGTCATGGCCTCTATGAGGGCATTCAGCAGATTATCCACTCCCCTTTCTTGCGTTGGGCCAGAAATTAGAATACTGTTCTAGTTCCAGTCTAGACTGTGATTTCTTTTTGTGTTCTTTTGTTTTCTAATATCTCTAAGTTCATAGACTTCATTGGTTGGTTATTCTTTATTCAGCATATGAAATGTTAGCATTTGCTGGAAATAAGATGGAGGTGTGAAAATAAATTTGAATATTCAAGGATATCCATTAATATCTTGATTATTCTGTATTTTCTGGTAGCATCAGATGTTAGCATTTGTTGTAATATTCATTGTTATCCTGATTATTCTGGAAATAAGATGGAGGTGTGAAAAGAAATTTTGAATATTATTTGTTTCATGATACAGATAATGTCACTGAACGTGACTATTTGCGGACTGAGGGAGATCCTGGTGCAGCTGGTTATACAATTAAAGAAGCAGTGGCACTCACTAGAAGTGTGGTATGTTATGTGTTGTAACTTGGATACCCGGAATAGTCAGGATGGATTTTCATTTAGGAATGTAAAATAAAGAAAATTGATAACATTTCCCCCCTTAGTAACATAGTATCTGCCAAATGTTATTTGTTAGATTCCTGGACAAAGGGCCCTTGCATTGCATCTCCTTTCATCTGTGCTTGATAAGGCATTACACTCTATTTGCGAAGACAGAACTGGGTATATGGCGAAAAGTGAGAACAAAGTCGACTGGGAGGCTGTTTGGGCTTTTGCACTTGGTCCAGAACCTGAGCTTGTATTGTCACTCAGGTGAATTTTGTTTATGGCCTAGTTGTTGGTTTTATTACAATGGCCGAGTGAGAATGTGTTTTTTTTATTTTATTTTGGTGTTTGTGTTTTTGTGGGGGGGGGGGGGGGGGGGGGGGGGGGGGGGGGGGTTCAGAAAATATATTTTCTTATTTATGTTGCAGATAATCATTAAGCATGGGAGTTGATTGGTTTAGATGTAAGTAGAACTCCAGCCTGGTATGTGACAGACTCAATGATGCCAAAGAAGGCACACATCTTTTGTTCCTTGAATATTTACATGTCTGGTCACCGTAGAAGCCAGCATTATTTGTGTTAGAATATCTAGAAAATATTTCATAATATCATTATTATATCTTAGAATATTTTAGAATATCTTAGGTGATCTCTTAGCAGTGGTTTCATAGTTAATTTTATATCATAATTTGTTTCCTTATTTAATTAGTATAAGGAGTTTAGCATTAGTACCAATAAGGGTTAGTGCTTTGTCTTCTATAACACATCATTGCACACCATACATCAATATAATATTCTATTATTTAGAATTTTTTCTCTCTTTTCCTCCTTCTCCACCTAAATCCTTATAATTCTAACATGATATTAGAGCAGTGCCACCTCTATGACCTGTAGTGTTGCTATTTTGCTGCCGAGTTTCCTTGAATTTGGAGCTCCACTTTATTTCCATGATTATTTTCTTGCTTTTGATTAGCTGTCTTTCCTGCTGTGTTCTCCTTCTGGCACCTTTCTATATCTCTTCATCGCACTTTTGCATGCGCCTTCCCTCTCATCAGTGTGCCTTTCACCTCACTGTGACCTCCACCAGCTCCAATATGTCCAGATCGGCCATTGCCTGAAATTGCACCACCATTAGACCCTCCATGCACCGCCTCAAGCTCCCAATGATGTTAGCTTCTACTGATGTGTGAGGGCATGTCCGGTGACATTTATGGCCGCTCTAGTCTTTCTGGTCCCATTCTACCTTATTCCTGGTGTCCTTTTCCCTCTATCTCAAGTCAGCCCCAGCCCCCATTGCTTCTGTTCCCACCCTCTTGTCACCATTTGGCTCCTTTAGATGCCATTTTTGTGTTTGGTGGTGAGATCTGGTGTTATGGCTCTCTTTCCCTTTATTAGGTTTAACGTGTTTGAGCTATTTCTTGACATTCTTTGTGCATGTTTTCTCTGGTTTGTTATTGTTTGGCTTTTTTCCAATGCTAGCACCGGTATTGAGGGGGGTAAAAGTTACCTCTTTTCTTGCTGACAGTCAATCCGGCCGTCCATTGATGATCATAAACATGGTGAGTCTGGTGACTTTTCTTCCCAGATGGTCATTTGGATGGTGACCTGTATTGGCTGCGACTCACATGACTTTTATCCCAAATGCAATCTGCCCTGTTTCTAGTCTTATGCTGTCAGGTCATATCTCTCGTTCTAGATTCAGTCTATCCCCATCTCTAGTTTTAGATGCTTTGGTCCCGTCGTCAGCCCTAGATTTTGTCACCTACCCCGTACGTTATATTTTTCTTATATATTGTTTAAGTATGTTTAATTGTAGCAAGCTTAAAGCTTAGCAAGCTTTAGCTTGAGGGGGAGTGTAAGAATATTTAGAAAATATTTCATAATATTATTGTTATATCTTAATATTTTAGAGTATCTTAGATGATCTCTCAGGAATGGTTTCCATATTTCATGATTGGTTTCCTTATTTAATTAAGATTAGAAGTTTAATATTAGCATAAATATGTTAGTGCTTTGTCTTTTGTAACTACTGAAAAGAAGTTTTTGTATATTGATAATGAATAATTTACATGAGTGAGTATTTATACAAGAAAGAATCGCTAAGAATGACTAAGTGATGACTAAGCGATGACTAATCAATCCTAATCACAATCAATTCTAATCAATCACAATCAATCCTAATCAATCATAATCAATCCTAATTAATAGGAAATAAACACGGAAACATGTTTGAATTCTGATTTTCTACACTCCCCCTCAAGTTGGGAGGTAAATATTGATCATTCCCAACTTGCCAATCAAGTCTTCGAATGTTGGACGGTGTAGGCCCTTGGTAAGGATATCTGCCGTTTGCTCTTTGGTTGGAACATATATCAAACGCACACTTCCATCATCTAATTTTTCTTTGATGAAGTGACGATCAACTTCCACGTGCTTTGTTCGATCATGATGCACAGGATTTTGAGCAATGCTAACAGCTGCCTTGTTGTCGCAATATAGTTTTATTGGTAGGGAATATGAAATCTTCAACTCTTGAAGAAGTCTTCTCAACCAGATTCCTTCACAAACTCCATGAGCTAAAGCTCGAAATTCTGCTTCAGCACTACTTCTTGCAACCACTGTTTGCTTTTTGCTTCTCCAAGTAACAAGATTTCCCCACACATAGGTGCAATAGCTTGAGGTAGATCTCCTGTCTACTGATGAGCCTGCCCAATCTGCATCAGTGTAGATTTCAATTGTCCTTTTATACCCCTTTTTAAAGAATAATCCTCTTCCTGGAGTAATCTTGAGGTATCTAAGCACCCTATAGACTACACTAAGATGCTTCTTCTTGGGTGAGTGCATGAATTGACTAATCATACTCACCGCAAAGGCAATGTCAGGACGCGTATGAGATAAGTAGATTAGTTTACCAACCAATCGCTGATATTGTTCTTTATCCACCTCATTCCCATCTTCAATACCTAACTTGGTATTAGGTTCCACAGGTGTCTCAGCAGGTTAAGGTAACGGTCGCTGCCCCAATATTCGACCACGAACCTCATCAAGATCTCGGTTGAGTCCGGCAAGGAAATCATAGAGTCTTTCCTTCTCCAAGTGTTTTTTAAATTGGGTATTAGCTTCCAATCCCTGAAGATCAGATGCATAATAAAGATCCAATTCCTGCCATAAATTCGTTAGTGCAGTAAAATATTCAGTAACAGTCATACCCCTTTGACGAAAGTCTCTCAACTTATTTCTCAGTTCAAAAACTTGAGAGGTATTCTCTAGATCGGAGTAATTCTGTTGAACAGCATCCCAAATTTCCTTGGCAGTATCAAAGAACAGATAGGTTTGGCCAATCTGTGGTTCCATGGAATTAGTCAGCCAAGCCATGACCAAGGAATTATTAATCTCCCAATCGTCATAATCAGGAGAATTCTCAGTAGGTTTCTTAATTCTTCCCTCAAGATAGCCCATCTTACCCTTTGCCCGGATGACCAACTTAACTGATTGAAACCATTGCAGAAAATTCTTACCGTTCAACCGGTGATTGGTGATCTGCAAACCTAAGTTGTTTCCAGAGGACTGAGAATTTGGGGCAGATGAGGAGGCGGAAGAGTGTTTTGAGGAAGCCATGAATAGAAAGAGAAGGGTTGACCGTTGATGAAAAATCAAGTTTTGTAAATTTTTGATCTGACCTCTGGAACAGGAAGGGGAGAAGCCGGCGAGAAGGTCTGTGCAAGTCGCGGCGGAAAAAGACGTTGGGAAGGCGGCGCGTGGAGCTCACACGCCGGAGACTGACCGCGCGTGAGGCGGCGGTTGACGGCGATGGGTCCAGCGGCGGTCGACTCGTCGAATCCTTCTGAGTCCAATGGTCACCTCACTTTCTTGATCGGAGGTCAGTAGACTAGGTTTCTGTGTTGGACAGATTCAAGGAGGTGTTTAGGAGGTGTTTGACGGTGATGGAAGTGTTTGGATGGTTATTTCAGATTTGAATTAGGGTAGGAACGAACCCGCTCTTGATACCATATTGAAAAGAAGTTTTTGTATATTGATAATGAATAATTTACATGAGTGAGTATTTATACAAGAAAGAATCGCTAAGAATGACTAAGGATGACTAAGCGATGACTAATCAATCCTAATCACAATCAATTCTAATCAATCACAATCAATCATAATCAATCCTAATTAATAGGAAATAAAAATGGAAACATGTTTGAATTCTGATTTTCTACAGTAACACATCATTACACACTGTATAATAATATAATAATCTATTATTCAGAGTTCGTTCTCTCTTTCCATCCTCTTCTACCTAAATTCCTATAATTTGAACAAGTTACATGCTCTTAAGATTATTTTTTTGTCATAACTCATAAGGTCTTACGCACACTGACTTTTCCTAAGCTGTGACGATTTTCATGTTTTGGGATGAGTTATCGTGCACAGTGGCTTTCCGTAATGCTGTAACTTCTCTAATGGTCTTATACAATTATACATTAAAATGTGTAAAGAACCTTGGGATACACCAACCCAAAAGTTAGCTCAAAGGGTGGGAGTGCCTAAGGCCTTATAAACTCCACATTAGTTGCACATACAACCAATGTGGGACTATATATCTCAACACACCCCCTCACGCAAGAGCCCTCTTGGCTTGAAGCGTGGATTATGCAACAGGCCCAATTTTTGGTTTACCTTTTTGTGCTTCCACTTTAAAGTGGGGGGCGACGAGGCTTTGATACCATGTAAAGAACCTTGGGATACACCACCTCAAAAGCTAGCTCAAAGGGTGGGAGTACCTAAGGCCTTATAAACTCCACATTAGTTGTACATACAACCAATGTGGGACTATATATCTCAACAAAATGGATGCTGGTGACCTTTGGTCCCTCGTGTAATACTGCTACCTGTGTCTAAAATTCAAATGGAAGAGTGAGAATCTAGATTTATTTGACTCATACGTTTTTGTTCTCTTGTAGTTAGCAAGGAGACATATTGGTGAAACTAGAAAGGTCTTTTATAATTGAAAAGAACCAATTCAACCCAAAAGCTTAAGTTGGTGGGTGAGACTATATTAATGGTTTTATATATCCCTAACACTTTCCCTCACATGAGAGTCTACTGGACTTGAAGGGTGGATAATGAACAGGTCCATCTATCTGTGCTAAGAAACTCCACAAGACTTAATTAATTATTAATTAAATGGGGAACGGTGAGGATCGAACCCGTAACACCGAGGCTCTGATACCATGTAAAGAACCAATTCAACTCAAAAGCTTAAGCTGGTGGGTAAGACTACATTAATGGTTTTATATATCTCTAACAATAAAAGCAGAAAGATGTTATCACAAATGGATAACTATTCATCTTGTAATTTATGTTTAAATTTTGCCTATAAATGGTACTATTTTTATTGTGATCCATGTGCTATTTTGAGTAGCATTTGATAAATAGCTGCTGATGAATACAATTCTTTCAAATTATATTGGCATATAATTATTTTTTCCCATTGTATGGGCCTCTTGTAACAGCAATATACTCTTTGATTTTTCTTAGGATATGTCTTGATGATAACCACAGTTCTGTAGTTCTGGCCTGTGCAAAGGCTGTACAATGTGTATTGAGTTGTGATGTTAATGAGAACTACTTCGATATCTTGGAGGTAACAGTGTTTCTCATCTATGTTTATTATCTTTAATCTTATACTATTATTCTGTGTTTCAAATTAGATTCATCTATAAACTTTTTTTTTTTACTTTCAGAAGATAGCAACTTGTGACATGGATATTTGCACAGCTCCAGTTTTTAGGAGCAGACCAGATATTAATGTTGGATTCCTTCAGGGCGGGTTCTGGAAGTACAGTGCAAAACCTTCTAATATTCTTCCTTTCAGCGAGGATTCTATGGACAGTGAAACTGAAGGGAAACATACAATTCAGGATGATGTAGTGATTGCTGGACAAGATTTTACTGTTGGTCTAGTTCGCATGGGAATCCTTCCAAGACTTAATTATCTTTTGGAGGTAAAAAATAGTTAATCATGATGAAGCATTTGTTGTCATTAGATTCTGTTAGAAAGACATAATTGTTAAGGATATTTTTCTGCTTCATAATCTATGAACTTCCATGTCAAATTCATTTTTTTCTAATGGTTGCAGACAGATCCTACCGCAGCTTTGGAAGAATGTATTATTTCTATACTGATTGCCATTGTGAGGCATTCACCCTCATGTGCTAATGCAGTACTGAAGTGCCAAGGACTTATTCAAACGATTGTGCACAAGTTTACTGTTGACAATTTAGAAACTCGATCTTCTATGATAAAATCTGTAATCCTCTTGAAGGTTAGTGGTAATTTTCAATTTTATTTTTTTAGATTTCTTCTTATATATTAATTTTCTTTGCTTGTTGTGTGTAAAGTTATTTCTGCATTTGCAGTTAGAGAATTATTACTAATGTTTCATTTGATATTGGAAAAGGTCTTAGCTCGGTCGGATCGGAAAACTTGTTTAGAGTTTATAAAGAATGGGTATTTTCAAACTATGACATGGAGTTTGTATCGATATCCTCCTTCCATTGACCACTGGCTAAACTCAGGGAAGGAAAAATGTAAACTTGGGTCAGCTCTGATTGTTGAACAATTGCGTTTCTGGAGGGTCTGCGTTCAATATGGATATTGTGTGTCTTACTTCTCGGAAATATTCCCTACCTTGTGTTTTTGGTTGAATCCACCTTCATTTGAAAAACTCCTGGAAAACAATGTTCTGTATGAATCTACTTCCATCTCTAGGGAGGCATATCTTGTTCTTGAGTCTTTGGCTGGAAGACTTCCAAATTTATTTTCACAGCAGTGTCTAAACAATGAACTTCCAGAGTCCAGTGGTGACACAGAGGTCTGGTCTTGGAGTTATGTTGGTCCAATGGTGGACTTAGCCATAAAGTGGATTGCAACCAGAAGTGATCCAAGAGTATCTAATTTGTTTGAGGGACAGGAAGAAGGGAGATGCGACTTTACTTTTCGAGATCTTTCTGCAACTTCTTTGTTGTGGGTGTATGCAGCTGCGACTCACATGCTTTTCAGAGTGCTTGAAAGAGTGACATTTGGGGATACTATCAGCCTACAGGAAACTGATGGGCTAGTGCCATGGCTTCCAGACTTTGTTCCTAAGATTGGACTTGAGTTAACTAAATATTGGCTTTTGGGGTTTTCAGCTTCCTTTGGGACAAAATGTGGAAGAGATCCTGAAGGAGGTGAATCTTTTATGAAGGAACTAATTTATTTGAGGCAGAAGGGTGATATTGAAATGTCAATAGCTTCAACCTGTTGTCTAAATGGAATGGTCAAGATTATTACAACAATTGATAATCTGATACAGTCTGCCAAGACTGGCAACTGTAGTCTTCCATGCCATGAACAAAGTCCCTCAAAAGAAGCAAAAATACTTGAGGATGGCATACTTAATAGGTGTTTGACCGAATTGAGGTCTATGCTTAATGTTTTCATATTTTCAGTATCTTCAGGGTGGCACTACATGCAGTCCATTGAGATATTTGGCAGAGGAGGACCAGCTCCTGGAGCAGGAATTGGCTGGGGTGCCTCTGGGGGAGGATTTTGGTCAAAAAAAGTTTTATTGGTGCAAACAGATGCAAGATTTCTCATCCATTTGCTGGAAATTTTTCAAAATGCATCTAAAGATGCTCCTATAACAGAAGAAACAGCGTTCTCCATGCAAAGGATTAACACTGCCTTGGGATTATGTTTAACTGCAGGACCAAGGGATAAGGATGTTATTGAAAAGACATTGGATCTCTTGTTTCATGCCTCTGTTTTGAAGTACCTTGATCTCTGTATACAGAATTTTCTACTTAATAGGAGGGGTAAAATCTTTAGGTGGCAACATGAAGAAGAGGATTACTTGCACTTCAGTAGAATATTATCGTCTCATTTTAGAAGCAGATGGTTGTCTGTAAAGGTGAAGTTCAAAGCGGTGGATGGCAATAATTCCTCTGGCCGTAAGACCTCTGCAAAGGTTAATGCTTGTTTGGACACCATATATGAGGACTCAGACATGTCATCGATGACAAGTCCTTCCTATTCGTCTTTAACAATAGAATGGGCTCATCAGAAACTACCACTTCCAGTCCACTTTTACCTAAGTCCAATTTCAACAATTTCCCATAGCAAGCGGGCTGGTCCTCAAAAAGTTGATAGTGTACATTATCCCACTAATTTGCTTGAAGTTGCCAAGTGTGGACTTTTCTTTGTTTTAGGTGTTGAAGCAATGTCCAATTTTCAAGCCACTGACATTCCTTCTCCTATTCAGTGTGTATCATTGACGTGGAAGTTACACTCCTTATCTGTCAATTTCCTTGTTGGAATGGAAATAATTGAACAAGATCAGGGCAGGGAAACCTTTGAAGCTTTGCAGGATCTTTATGGTGAGCTTCTTGACAAGGAAAGGTTTAACCGAAGTAAAGAAGTTATTTCAGATGATAAAAAACATCTTGAGTTTCTGAGATTCCAATCTGAGATTCATGAAAGTTACATAATATTAATTGAAGACCTTGTAGAGCAGTTTTCTGCTATATCTTATGGTGATATAATTTTTGGCCGGCAAGTTTCGCTTTACTTGCACCGTTGTGTTGAAACTTCCGTTCGACTTGCAGCCTGGAATACATTGTCTAATGCTCGTGTTCTTGAGCTTTTGCCACCTTTAGAAAAATGCTTTTCTGGAGCCGAAGGATACCTTGAACCTACTGAGGTAAAACATAATAATTAATTATCAGTTGTTTTACCATGGAACATTATCTGCAGAGGATATTACTTGTGATTTTGATACACTTTCTTTTTAAGTTGAAGATATTAATGTCATTTGTATTTTATTATAATTTTGTAAATTGTTTAAAAAGTGGTTGTTCAAGTGTGCTTTAAAGCATAGAAGTATGTCCTACAAAGTACAACAGAACCTTCTTAAGCGTCAAAGCTAAAATTGGTAAAAATGATTGGAAGCATTCTTTGAAGTGTTAAAAGAACACTTATTCATCTTTAATGCACCTTTACTTTCTACATGTTAAGAAATGGGCCATTTTGGAAAAAATGTGGAGTTCCTAATTGGAATTTTGTACATAGTGAAGTATCATATACTTCCATCAATATATTCATACACATCACTTTGCACCAAACTTGCACGTATCTTTACAGTGGCTTGTTTTGAAGCTTGTATCTTTAGTAGGGAAGAAAAAGTAAGGTTGTATCCTTAATGCATAGAAATTTGAAACTAACATGATGACCTTGTCAAGCAGGTTACCCTTGCAAGGGATGTGTATTGTGCATCATATGCTTCCTTATATATAACTTTTTGTTGTTGTTGTTTATATTATATGTCAGTAGTAATAATTGGAATCTAATAGGTAGGTGGGCAGTTGTCTTTTCTTTTCCAACTATTATCTGTGGAGGGGTGCACCTGCATAGTCACACTGGCCATGTAGACTAGTCATTGATTCAAAATATAATGTATTTTTAACCAACATTGATGGTGTATGGTCCCACTGCAGGATGATGAAGGGATGTTGGCGGCTTATACCAAGTCATGGATTTCTGATGCCCTTGACAGGGCTGCGATACGAGGATCAATTGCATATACTCTGGTTGTCCATCATCTTTCAGCCTTTATATTTCATGCCTGTCCTGTGGATAAGTTATTGCTGCGGAACAGGCTTGCTAGGTCTCTCCTGCGAGATTACGCTGGGAAACAGCGACATGAGGTAAGCAAGTTTTGAAAGCTTTTAACCTGATGGACAAATAGTAGTTTAGACAAATCTTCATTCAGTGAAAACTTGCGCGGGTGTTCTGTCATCAAATTATTTAGAATGTATGAACTGGGACTTGGGCCTACCGAGTGAAATTTAAGATTGCACCAGTGTGCAGGGAGACATCACTGTGTAGGTAAATCCTAGTTGTAGTATTTGTTTGACCAAGAGTTTGGGGCCATGGATGAAGTAGAAGATAAGATTTTGATGTATCCTTTTTCTCCTTAACTTAATGGGCATTGTTGCATCTAAATTTACATGATAGTGGTGTAGCTGAACTTATGCTATCTACATTCTACAACTGTTACTGATGGAACTTTTGATACAGGGAATGTTATTGAACCTCATCCACTATAACAAACCACAAACATCTGACACAGGTGAGCAACTGCATGAAGAAAAGAGCTGGTTAGATTCCAGGCTAAAAGTATTGGTTGAGGCTTGTGAGGGAAATTCCTCTCTTTTGACAGAAGTAAATAAGTTAAAGTCTGTTGCAGAGAAGAGTTCAGTGTGAGGTGACCATTATATAAGACACAAACATTCGAGATATACAAAAAGCACAACAAAGGCCATATAGATTCTGGGAATGGAGTCTCAAATGTATTGACTGGAGTGTACATGGGCACTAATATTTGTATTCGTGGTGGGAATGGAGTCTACTGTTTTGTCCATCAAGATTCCGGGAGCAAGTCCAAAGACATGAAATGTACATAATGAAAGGATGAAAGGATTGGATTTTAAGAAAATGATCAAAAACACCCATGAATGGAATTCTGGTAGAAGGTAAATCAAGATATTACTCTCTTTGTTGGAACTTTGAAGTCAAATGATTGTTGGTAGAATTTGTGCTTTACCATAGAGTTTATCACTGATCAATGAAAAGAGAAGCTCTCTGAACAAAAACATCAACTTAGAAACGTTAAGTATTGATGAGATTACATGAATTAGAAGCTGAGAGGGTAATACTCCGTTGCTGGTCTTGAGTTTTTTAGGATAAACTTTTTACTTCCTTTATAAAATTAAAGCTAACAGGTACATATGATCTGGTTTCTGGCTACTTGCCTTTCCACTTGTAAAATGTGTTCAAAAGTTATTTAAAGAGTTTTCCAATTTTTGAAATGGTTTAGGGGAAATGATTTTCTAATATCACACACCTATTGAAATTCGAGCTAGCATTTTTTTTTTTTTTTTTATTTAGTTGTAGGGTTCACTTGATTATGTTTCTCTATGAGATAATATTTTCTCACGTAACATCAGAAAAATATTGCCCATGGTTTATATTGTATAAAAGATGAGATTAGTATTTCTCATGGTGTAGTAGATAATTTTATTTTTTATATACATATAAAAGTGGGTGAACCTATGTGAGGCTATATAAAGAGAAAAGGAAAACATGGACCTCATTTTTATGTACGTATGTAGAGGAAGAAATTTATCTCCTATTTTTTCCAAAAAAAAAAAAAGGTTTTCTTTTGAAATTAGACATGCTCTTTTTTTTAGCTGTTGATATTTTTTTAATGATTTAAATTATAGAAAAAAAGGTTTGTGTGTGTGTAACCAGAGGTCTTTATTTGGATATTTGGACGAATTTTTGGAATTCTTTAGTTAGGCTTAGAACTAGTTCAGTTAGACATTTGGACATTTGGATTGGGCTATTATTTAGGTGTTAATTTTGTGAGGAGTTTTCAAAAAAAAAAAATTATCAGGGTAAATTATACTTCGTCTTCACGTGGTTTAATTTTTATTTTTTTTGTGCCACTAAAATTTTTGAAGTTCGGATTAAGCCATGTGACATGTATGTGTTTTTAAAAAAGATTATTTTGTTGAATAGCCACGAATTTTTTATGGTTAATTAGCTTAAAATTATAGCTAATTTGATGTTATATATGATTATTCACATCTAATGCTCGTGATTAATTTAATCTCTTTTTACTTTTTACTTTTTTGTTTTGTTTTCTTTCTAAATAAATGAAGAATTGAATACTTATGGAAAGACTATAATTCGCAACTAACATTATTAAGAAATCTTATATCTAAGTTTAATTATACATTTAATTAATTCTAAATTTGAAATAGGCAATCAAGTAAGGTAGTTTTCTATACATTCTTAAGCCAATGTACAATGCAAGAATCACCCTAAAATTTAAATACACATTTGTCAACAAAGAAAGGGACAAACACTAATTTTTTTATTTTTATTTTTAGTATTAAGAAGTTTAGTTGATGTTAGATATCGGTATCTTACAATGGTTAAGGTAAAATGTAACACCCCTTGTTTTCCCGGTTTGTTAACATATCATCGTATTAAGCTGCGCTTAATTAAAAATTTGCGGAATAACTTTTTCTTTTCAATTATGACGTCATTATACTTAGCCAAGTTGATTACTTAATCAATTTCATAAAATACATCGCCGGTATGTAAATGCAAATAGATATCTAACTGAAATACCTCAAATATATATAAAGTGAGTATCTAAGTCACGACATTACAACACGTAATCCAGAGTATATCCTGATACATTATACAACTCCAAATAAAACAAGACATAACCAAGTCTATGTGGCATGGACAATTCCCATGCTCACCAAATCAACAACATAACCAACAGAGCCTCAACAGAGGAATTCATAAACTGAATCTAAAAGCATAAGACAGTAAATATGATCCAACATCCAAACATAACAACATATCAGCATAAACATGTAACATCTATCAACTAAGCTCTGGCCTCCTGCCACTAGAGGTATCAACCCCCACATTACCTGAACCTGAAATAAGCATTCCCCAAACGTGGGGTGAGATCTCTAAACAGAAATCTCAGTAAGACAAGGGGTCCTCAAGGGTCTTTCACCCCAAGCTCACTTACATGTGCAATATAAGTTCTAAAAGAAGTAATCCAATATAAGTTCTCAAAACTCAATGCAGTGCAACAGATATTCATGCCATGTGTGTCAATACTATTCTACTGGCCAGAGAAATGCAGGAAGACGTCTATTACCTACAGATAGCACAAGGAACACCGCTCACACCTCACCCACGACCTCACTGTAACACCCCGTATATATCCGGTAATGTTATCATACTATCGTATTAAGCCGCGCTTAATTAAAAATGCGGAATATCTTTTTCTTTTCAATTATGATGTCATTAATCATTACCAACTTGATTACTTAACCATTTTCAAAACATCGACTGTATGTATATTGCAATAAATAGCTAACTGAAATACCTCATTAATTAAATAACATAAGCATGAGTCTTTAGTCACGGAACTACAACACGTAGACCAAACCATCTAACAGTTTATACAACTCAACTCAAAAGTACTAACAACATAGTGGCATGGACAACTCCCATGCTCACCCAAATAAGGCAACAAAGCCCAACATCAGTCTCAACAACAGCAACATAAGCATAAATGACAGAAAATATAAACAACATCCAATCCAGTCATGCCAACATAATATGAATAACACTAAACATCAACTAAGTTCTGGCCTCCTGCCGCCAGAGGCATCAGTGCCCATACTGCCTGAACCTGAAATAAGCATTTCCCAAATGTGGGGTGAGATCTCTAAACAAGAAATCTCAGTAAGGCAAGGGATCCTTAAGGATCTTCCACCCCAAGCTCACTTACATGTGCAATATAAGTTCAAAAGCAGTTTATCATCATCAGTTCTAAAATAGTGCAATGCAGCAGATAATCATGTCATGTATGTCAATTCTATTCTACTGGCCAGAGAAATGCAGGATTTATATACGCCAAATACCCACACAAAGTGCAAGACGCCACTTGCATCCACCCCGGATCACCGTCTTGTATGACGCCACATACTCAGGCTTACCGTCAAGATGGAACAACACATGCATATTAAAAGCCATTACACATAAAGCTCAACAACATTTCAAATATCCAAAGCAGGTAACACAACATGCATATAACCATACCCCCATGGGACATGGTGGAACCACAACATGGCTAAACCGAGGACACGAAAGCTTACCTTGCAAGCTAACACCCAAAGCCAAGAGTCCACAGCTCAAGTCCAACACACAGCAGATCACAATCTGATATGGACCAATAGTAAATCAATAAACATGCACTACAAGCATACATCATAAAGACAGCGCCTTTTTTACGTTTTACGTCTTAAGGCTTCTCACCAAGCCATAAGCCCTTAACCACATAGGTTCTGACTTAGATAATTAATTACATAAGTTCTACTTCATCAATCTAGGGTCAACAAACCCCCAATAGCCTACTGTATGAACAGTGCCGCTACTGTTCTTCGAAATCCCAGAATATTAGGATATATGTCGAGGGCATATCCGGATATCCAGATCTTCATATCCGGATATCCAGATCCTCATATCCGGATATCAACATCCGGATACCATATCCGGATATTTCACAACAGAATGCAGTTTCTGCATTTCGCGAAGATATCCTTCCAAGGTAACATTTTTAACACTTTGAAACATCAAAGCATGCATCTTTAATCTGTTTTAAGTCCACATACCAGTTGGTTACTTGTTTAACCCATTTACATGCAAAGACACCACTTTTAAACCATTAAAACTCATGATCAAGGTTAGGCAACTCACCCAAAGCTCAAAACAGAGGCAAAAAGTTGCTCTTGGAGCTCACAACCAGCTCCCAAGGTTCTGACTTGGTCCCAAAACAAAAATGACACACCAAGGTTGGTTCTTTCTTCATAAAGGAAGCACCTTGAAGCTCACAATGCTACTACAATGGCTCAACAACCCCCAACCTCCAAAGTCAGCAACAAATACTCCCCAAACAGATGTCACAAACTCAGAATGATACTCTCCACACCCCTCCAAAGCCAACTCTCACAAGCTACAAGTGTTTAGGAGAAGAATTTGTGAAGGAAATGACCCCAAAGCTCAAGAACAAGATGAAGAAGCCATGGAATAATGTTTAAGAAAACTAGTCAGCCACCCTCCACGTAGAGAATTCTGAATGCCTAGGATTTTGTGCCTTAACAAGCCTATATATAGTCACTTAACCAATTAACACACAATATTAGCTTTTATTGCTACGCTTAGCATTTTAATACCAAACTCAGGATTCTTAACCTACTCAATTTTACAAGAATTATCATATTTTTCTTATATTTTTCGGAGCACCTTTCCGGTATGCGCTTTTCATAGCCAGTACCAGATTCTGGCACCATTTCTCATTATTTTAACTTGAAACTCGTTTTACAAGTCCTACATGTTATTCTAGTAATTATCATGCACTTATTATAATTTTCCAGGATACTTTTTCGGTATGCATTTATACCGACTAGCAGAACTGGTATCTGCATTTTTCGTCAGAAAAATGACTTTCAGCATTATTACTCACTTACTATAATTATTAGAGCCTCATAATAATTATTAGGGTCAATTATAGAATTATCTCATTAAACTCATAATTAACTGATTAATTTCCTTAATTAACGGTGCAGGTTCTTACACTCACCATATTGTATGTACTACATACTCAGGCTTACTGTAAAGGTGGAACACCGCATGCATATCATAAAGGCACTAGCATATAACAGCTCAACAACATTTCCAAAACATCAAAAGCATGTAACACATCATGCATATAACCATACCCCCATGGGACATGGTGGAACTACAACATGGCTAAACCGAGGACACGAAAGCTTACCTTGCAAGCTCACTATCTAATGCCAAGAGTCCACACAGCTCAAGTCCAACACACAACAGATCACAATCTGATTAGGACCAGCAAGCATATCAACACTCAAGCTCATAAGCATAAACATAAAGACTACATTTTCCTCTTACGATTTATGTCTTAAGGCTTCACACAAAGCCATAAGCCCTTAACCACTTGATTCTGACTTAGTTTGATTAAAACAGAAGTTCAACTTCATTACTCTAGGGTCCACAAACCCCCAATAGCCTACTGTATGAACAGTGCAGCTACTGTTCTTCGAAATCCCAGAATATCCGGATATTCGTCGGGGGCATATCTGGATATCAATATCCGGATATCTCTTCCAATATC